GCGGGTGCCTGGCACTGGCGGCTATGAGACGCTGCAGCCCCTGCTGCGCCCGCTGAATGCTGTTCCTGAAATCCCGCTGGCTGTGTCTGTGGTGCGCCTCAGTGGAGCAGCACAGGAGGGAGCGGGAGAAGGCAGGGGGGGTCAGGGCAGCACTGAAACACAGAGGGCTGGGCTTTCCCCCAGTCCCTCCCAGTTGCTGCAGGCCCTGATGCCCCTGGCCACGTACACTGAGCTTCACAGCCTCCTGAGAACTCAAGCTTCAGCCTCACGGCCTGGCCCTGAGGGCTGAGGAGTGTGTCAGGAAGAGCCTGCCCACGGGAGCCTGGGGACTCCAGGGCTCCAAAGTGCACTGCTGAGTGGACTGTGGCCCGGCAGGGCTGCAAAGAGTGGGTTACGGAGGGGCCTGGCCTGGGCTACCTTCACCTATGGCCACGCCACCCCAAGGGCACCTGGTGTCTGCTGATCTCAGAGGCCGAGCAGAGTGGAGCCTGCTCAGCACTCAGTTGGGGGCTGACTGGGATGTCAGCTGCTGGGGCCTTCTGCCACTTCTCTCTCCTTCCTTCTCCCTCTCCATTTGCTACTGCCACCAATCCCCTCAGCACAGGAGCACTTTCGGCCTTTGGGAGGTGGCACCCACTTGTGGAGTCCTGGTCAGGGGGTGGGGGGTAGTTTGTGAGAAAGGGCAGCCTGGCTGGGCTGGTGTTCTCTGTGCTGCTGGCAGCTCTGAGCTGGGGTGGGGGGGGCAAGTTGGGCCTCTGCAGGAAGACAGTTCTTAGTACCCTGGAACTGTTTGAATAAAATGATTATATGGCAATTTTTATACTCTGTTATTTTATTTTCCACAAAATTGGTAGCAAAGTCGTGTGTGTGTGTAAAAGAATGAGAATGACAAATTCTCAAGTGAAACAGAGGAACCAATTGCAGGATAAAACATGGATGAGCCTCAAAAACATGACACTAAGTGTGAGAAGCCAGATAAAAATGGGCACAGTTGTACACATCCATCTACATGAAATACATAGAATAGGAGAATCCATAGAGAGAAATTCCACACAGGTAGCCGCCCAGCATGCGGGAGGGTGCAATGGGAAATGAGTACCAGATTTCTTTGCGAGGTAATGAAATGTTCTGAATCAGATAGTGATGATGGTTTTACAAACTTGTAAATAGACTATAAATCACTATATTGTACAATTTTTAAAGGGTGGATGTTATGGTATGTGAATTATATCTCAACTTAA